AATATGTGGACCGATTTTAATAAACAAATCGTTATTTGGAGTTAGTTACAGGAAGATTTCGATTCACATTGAGTCTTTCCATTGCATCCTGCCTAATGTGGATAAATTTCAAGTAAAAAAGAAGTTTATCAATAATTACGTCCACAGTTTAAAACACACAAGATTAAACTGTTCAAAGCAAAAAGTTTGTGTTTAAAAAGTTTTAACTGCACGAGTAAGGGAAAAAGAATATTAAAAAATAATTCGTTTATCATTTCCCCGGTATCGCAGTTAGCAGAGTATCGTAAAAACTCTTGCCCTAGAAAGCTTTAACTCTTGTGCCGCTTCCGCCTCGGGAATGCCTCTTTAATGCGCTTAATTCTTTTAACATTTTTAGCCGTATTTTATGAAAAATTGCCTTTTGCAAGCGTTTTATATATTTTTACCAAGTGCTTGTAACAGGTTTATTACGTGAATTTTCGAGAATGAATTACAGCCATGTCAAGATTGATGAAAATTAAAATATGATGAAGATAGAGTTGTATATATAGAAACGAGTTACTTCATAAATCTATTTTACCCTTAATGATGATGATATACACCCAATAGATTATTTAAAAAAAAAATCTTTATTTTTCTCTCGATCTACACGTATGTTCAATTTGCTACCCGTTTTAATTTAGGGTATTTAAAAATAAAAACCATGCATTTAAGAGCTAGAAATCGCTTAGAACAACTACGCTACTCACATCTTGACAGCTTCACTATTAGTAACCAAACGCCAAGAACATTATTAGGAGCCTAAACTTTCATTTTAGAAGATTAACGATTCCTTGCTCGGCTTCCGTTCACGATCTCTATTTCCTATATAATCGTTAAGAGTCTCAGTACTAGCATTAAAGATTGGCGTTCAAAAGTCAAAGGGAATCTTAATCTTGAATCTTACTAATATTATAAATGCGAAAGTTTAGATGGATGGATGGAAATATGTGTGTTAGAGTTTGTAGCCTAAACTGCTGAATTTTGATGGCATAAATAGGATAGTCTTGAAGAACTCATAGACTTCTTTTTTTAATTCCACGCGAACGGAGTCTCGGGCGATAGCTAGTATAGTTATATATGTAATATATGAGTATACTAGCTTTCGCCCGCGACTCCGTCCGCGCGGAATTATCGCCTATGTGTTCTTCCAGACTATCTTCTACATCTGTACCAAACTTTATCGAAATCCGTTCAGCCGTTAAAGCTACAAACTTTAACAAATATCCATCCATCCATCTAAACTTTCGCATTTATAATATTAGTATGATGGTAATGTGAAATTCGAGGTCGATGTCTCAGATGACAAAGTTGCGTGGCGACAAATCCACAACGACCTCGCATCGCCAAATCCGTAATGCTTTACGATACACGTACGATACGCGATTACATCACTTATGCGTCATATACAATGGTCATTCTAGTCCATAATATATATTAAGTGCCATTATATACACTTAAAACCAAACTCTTATGAGATTTAAGATTTCATTGTGTAATTTTTTCAAATTCAGTTGCCGAGAAAGACTTCGTTGTTAACTAATAGCTGTTGAACTTCCGTGAAAATCGAAACCAATCTAGCCGTTTCGGATATTACCCGGAACAAACGCGGCTTGCGGACAGACAGACAGATAAAGACTCGTATGTTAATAATTCTTTATTTACATATATTTGTCTTCAATCTGGTCTACTATCATAAAGACATTTCTTTTTCCTCCTCTTCACTGACAAGCGCCGTTGAGGTTTCCGCATGCCAGATACATCGCCACACAGAGAAAAATGTAATTGCGATTTTCGTTATCCCAAACGCAAATACATCATCTTCCCGAAATCTTAAATTCTTCCTTTGATATTACAAACAGACAGTTCAATTTTATATGTATATATAGCATATTTAATAATGTTCATCTCCCGTTTAATTATTTCCGTTCTTTATTTACAATATAACAGAGTATCTGTTGTGAAACCGTATGCCTCGTTTGTGCTTTTGTTAATCTCCGGGAGTGCCGGCCCTGTGTACAATGGAATACAATGTTAGAACATGCAATAGACCAAAATACAATTTAACTTATTTAAAGCAAAGATAGAAAAATTAGATAAATGTACTTTTTTGCATTAAGTATTAGGTAATGATACATCTTACTTCTTACTTATAATATTACAAATTCGAAAGTTTAGATGGATGGATGGATGGATGTTTGTTAGAGTTTGTAAGCTAAACGGCTGAACGGATGTCCACGAAATTTGGCATACATATAGAACATAGTTTGGAAGAACACATAGACTTTTGTGTTTTTTAATTACACGCGGACGGAGTCGCGGGCGAAAGCTAGTTTTTAATAAATCCAACTAATTCAGCCTAAAAGTAATCCCACCCTTACTCTATACACTCTATTCTTTATTTAAAGTATAAATGGAAATAAATAACGATTTTTTTAAGAAAATTGCGGCGAACCTAGGATTCTTATAATCGAGTTGAAACGAACTAAGATTTAATCATTACATAACTTATGCGTGCATAGACTTGTAATCTTTTGCTTAAAAAAATCCTATAAAACCGACCATCCGTATAGAAACCCTCTTTTCTGTGTTCTATATAAGCATAAAATGTTACTGAAAGCAACTTGAAACTCAGAAAAAAAACATCTGCAAGATTAATTTCTTTTATAAGTAATCTTCATTGTTCGTTGCAGATAACATTGCACAGTATAAAAGTATGCTAAAACACAAGAAAGCCTAGCCTCTAGCGCGCAAGAAATGAATACTCATTAAAAACTTGTAAATTAAACAATAGTATTGTCCAAGAAGGAATGGGATCAGATGAGATGGAATATAGCGTAGAATAAAATCATAGAGATTTAGTGGTAGTAATAGAGCGGACACCACAGGATTTCTTCAAATATTTTAAGCGTAAACTAAACCATCCAGTCTGTATACGACGTGGCTCGTATTGTCCGGTCTATTGATACATATATGTTAAATGTTTTTGGATAATAACAATCCTTAGACGGGATGAATCTTATGTTCGCCGAGGAAGCGCGATTAGATGGGACTCCGCCCTACGATCGATACTGTGACGTCACCGCCTTAACCTTCGCGACGCGTGCCCGGTCCAAGCTCGGCTCGTTGCAAATTTTACGAGGTTCATATCACAGTTTTTCTACACCTCCTATTTTTTTTTAAATCATGATTGTAACTCTAAGAAATAAATAAAAAAATAATAAAACCTTTTTATTGCCATCCAGAAATATTGTTTATATTTCCTACACTATTGGATTCTTGTCAATTTTTTCTAATTGAGTTTGTATCTGTTTTTTCCAAAGAGAAGAGAAGGATATGTTACATTTTTATATGAATATTTTGACATTGGAAACTAACAGTCGCGTTAAAACCATAACAAAGATGACCTTGAGAATATCAACGTAACAGATTTAATTGAACCAGGGACAGTTTCCCTCTAAGCGTCAGTTTCAATTACGTGATTAAATTTGCATTGCACATGGATACAATGTTGAGAGGCTGTGGGCTATTGAATATTTATAGATTGGAGTGCGGTGTTGCGTCTCTTTCATCGAGGACAAGCTCTCGCTAGAGCCTCAACTCAAAAGCCTACCACGGTCGACCTCTCAAGTATGCTTCTGAGCGAAAATGATCGACAAAAACTCTATAAAAATAGGGTCGAGTTTTTAAATGGTTTTGTTCTTTTTTTGCGGTTTTCTATGTTTTTTTTAAATAAAGAGGCAGTTAAAGCAACTCTTTAGCTTCTTTTGAGACTACCCTCAATATTCCTTTTCGTTAATTTACCTAACATGTTAAATATTTAGATTTGTTTATATGTAAAGTACATATGCTAAAATACATATTCTAATTAAATAATAGTTATTACGTTATATAAGTACTTTCAAATATGTAGATATTTGGTTAGACCAAATGTCATGTGAATCATATAAATGTAAAATGTTCAACACTTAATCATTCTCTGTTTGGATTTTTTTGTATACCAAATTATTGGTAAAGCAGACTGTTTGCTTTGTTAATTAACGATTAACGGATTGACTTTCGTACCTCTGTACACTACACAGCAATAATAAGAAGTGAATAAAAACATCCGAGAGGAATCTCTCCTAATAAAAAAACTTCTATGACGCATACTGTCTGGCAGCTGGTCGGTAATCAGCGCCACTCGGTCGTAATATTCTCTGGAAATCATTCAAATATTTACACTTTTCATTCCAATGTTTATTAAAATCAATCAACACATCGATGTATCGATTTAGAAAGTGAAGATGTAACTATCAATGAAGCGTGAAGAACAAGAATTTTAACATAGTGCGTGTTTTTGCTACACTATTTTCAGTTTTTTATCAATTTTAGACTTCGCTCGCGTGAAATAATAAAAATATAGGCTATGTTACTCAAAGATTACTTGGCTTCTTAAATACAGGAATTCTAGTTAAGAACCCAAGGCAACACTGTTTGATGTAGTTATACACAGTGTGCAATAAAGATATTTTATTCTATTAAAAAAATACCTTTCTAACGATGAAATAATTTTTAAAATCGGCCCAGTAGTTTTTGAGTTATTCCAATACATACAAAAATAGTAAAACACCAATCTTTCCTCTTTTTAACATTAGTATAAACAATGGCTTTTAAGTTTGAATTCAACCTTGTTGTTTTTATTTTACCTTGTTAAAGATGTCTCGAGATATATCGTAATAATCGATTTTATCTGTATTTAGATGGAAAGTTTGATAAAAGAAATGCAAGATCCAGAAACCGGTGTACCAGTGAGATGTCAAAAATTATTTCTCAGCGTCATACCTTCTGCTTTCATGGGTAAGTAAATACTGTTCAACTATTCTGAATCATTTAATACACTCACTCGTACCAGGCCGATATCGACCTGACGCGGTACTTAAGCTGGTGTGGACGAAGAAAACTATTTCATTTTCGCTAGTGCGAAACGTTGTCTCAGGTGTATACATTACATGTATTCATTATGTTTCCACAAAACTATAGCAATTTAATCTATCTTAGTACTGGTGGGTCTCTAAAGACCTGCCACGCATTGGCGGAAATATCATTGGGGGCGTATTTCGGCCCGCTGCCTCACCAGATAAAGAATTATGATTTTACTTGCCGCAGTAAACGTGTTATCATCGATATTGATTTTTGTTTATACTAACTAGTAGTAGTTAATTTACATTTGATATAGTAGGAAAGTACAAGATAGTACAATTGCTTTTATAAAAAGAACTAAGAAATTTAAAAAAAAAACTTAACTTTTAAATTGTGAACTATGTGTGTCAAATTTGACCAAAATCCGTCTTACGACTTACCTAAGTAGTATCTATCCGTCTAAACTTTCGCATTTATGATATTAGTAAGATATAGCATCTATGATATTTCGACAAAAGGTTTCTTTTTAGACGCTCATTGACGTCGGGCGATGCCGCCAGTCGCCGTCTAATAGTAAAATCAATAGTCCTCGCCCTGAGTTTCCACTGCAGACACACATGTACTAAACACTGTTATCTCACTTCTTTCGAAGAGTATGAGTGAGGGTACAATATTGTTTTCATACAGGTGTGTCAGTGGAAACGCACGGTGATATTTACAATCTACGCTAGTGGTATACAGGTCGATGACTTGACGATTCTTAGAATTGAAAGCAGTGGAATGAAATTATCGATTACTGGAATATTTTAATAATCAAAGCCCCAAAGCTTATTGGACATTCTGCGAAGTAACTTGGTTTGAAATCCCCATTATTGATTTATGTATCACAAACTTTTTGTTGAAGGATTTTTTTTTTCAATCTTTTGTTAAATTTTGAAATAATGGTATAGTTTCATTCTTAATTTATTTTGTTTCCAGGCTACGATCTTGTCGAGTGGCTTATGGAAAGATTTAATCTTGACGAAGCAAACAATGGTACGTTTTAAGTCTATTTGTCTACATATTTTAAATATTTTAGGTTATAATTATGAGATGCAAATGATATTTGTCTAACCAATGTTATTTTTTTACAGTTGAAGCAATGAATTTAGCTAACCAGCTCTGTCAATACGGATACTTCTTTCCTGTCAATGATTTAAAGAATCTTGTTTTAAAGGATGACTCTTCTCTGTATAGGTTTCAAGTAAGTTTATTTAAAATGTAGATCATCCCCTCGCTTCTCTGTCACCCCTAGCCGTAGCCTGATTGCTTCTTTTTAAATTCACGTCACGCCAAATACATCGTTCTTGGTAACCCATGCCTGTCCTTCATTCCTACTCAATATAATCCACGAGAAAACGACTGATCTCATGAACGCTAATGAATGGTCTTCCTAACCAACAAGTATTATTAAATAGCTCTGCTATTTTTTGTACAAATGACAGAGACAGTCTGTATAAAAATGTACATTTGTTTACGTTCCAGAGTCCATACTACTGGCCGTGGCAAGGGCCGCGCGTGGGCGGCGGGTCGGGCGCGCCGGCGTTGGGCCCCGACAACGTAGAGTACGCCATCTACCTGGTAAAGCGTACCCTGCGCAACAAGCAGCGCCACGGCCTCGAGGACTACGAGCTGGAGGCGCTCGCCAACCTCAAGAAGAACCTCGCTGCTAAGTGGGACTTCATCACCATGCAAGCCGAGGAGCAGGTAACGTTAATTCGGCTAGAAGCTACAACTGCAGTCACAGATAAATCCTGTTATACTATTTGTATTCTGAAGTTATCTGTTTAGGTTAGTAAGTAGCAAACGAATAGTTGACTGATAGATAAAGGGTTAATCTTATCGACTTGAAAGCACAAAAGTATTTGTAGCAACAACTTCACGCGTATATTCTTCAAGTCAAGAACATCCAATAGTATTTCCGCTGTTAACTTATTCATCAACATCTTCTTCCTTATCCTACTCCCGTAGGATCGACACAACTGTTTTTTGTCCTCCACATAACTCTATCATACGTCATCTTAGTCAACACTCCCTTTTGGATCATGTCACCTTTTACGCGATTCATTCATCTCTTTCTAGGTCTACCATTTCCGATGTACCCTCCCACACTCATAACTAACGTTATTAACTCATAACTTTTGGATTCAGCACTATTTTTGTGCCGGCCGCCTGCCTGTTGCCAACCTTACTTAGGATTTTTTAACTTAATGACATAAAAAAACTTACATGACAAATTCATTTTGTATGGTACCAGGTGAGGCTAGCAAAGGACCGTAAGAAGGACGACAAGGTAGTGAGCGACAGCCAGGAGCGGGCGTACTGGCGCGTGGCGCGGCCGCCGCCCGGCGTCACCTCCGCGCTCGAGTCCTGCCCCGTGCCAGTGCGCGTGCGCCAGCCGCGCCCCAAGAAGCGCTCCATACACCAGCTCACCAAAGAGGTACATCGATAATACCCTAAGTAACTATCTGAAACGAAATATGCAAAAGATCATATAGACGTCTTTCTATGATGGATGTTTGTTATAGTTTGTAGCCTAAAAGGCAGAACGGATCTCAAATTTGGCATAGACGTAGAGGATAGTCTGGACTAACACATAGGCTACTAACTTTTGTTTCTATTTTTAATCCCGATCGGACGGAGCTGCAGGCGAAAGCTTTTATATAAATTAAATTGAAGATATTGCAAAATCATATTTCATCAAAAAGTCTTTAAAATTTCAGATCGAGCATCTGAAAGCGAGCTTGGATCGTACGCGAGTGAAGACATCGACTGTTATAGAGGCGCTCGACGCGTACGCAGAGACCTTCGCTCCATACGACGCCTGGTTAACGCCGCCACAGCCTTCTAATCCTTGGATTTCTGAGGACCCGCTTTTCTGGCAAATTAATAGTCCTCTGTGAGTATAATAAATGTAAATTTAATAGACAAATCGTCTTTGGAAATTTCCTTTATTTATCTGGTTGTTTACACAAAAATGTTGACGTTACTATAGAGTGGAGATACCGACCGAGAAGCGCGTACAGCGGTGGGCGCTGTCGATAGAGGAGCTGGTCTCCGACCCCACGGGCCTGCAGGAGTTCACCAGTTTCCTGCGTAAGGAGTACTCTCACGAGAACATCAGGTTCTGGCTCGCGGTCATGGATCTGCGGCGCAGCAGCCCCAAGCAAATACCTAAGAAGCTTGAGGAGATTTACGAGTATGTTTTACGTTATATACAAGTGACAAGATGAAAAAAATATGTTTAGCTTAGTTCTGTGATACTCCGACATATAAGAATTCACCAATATGGCCACTTATCTTAAATCCGTGAAATGGCAGAAACTACATCAACGTTCTTAAAAATTTGTGCACCTGTTTTTGTAGTCAACTTCCTTGGTTCATCATATATCGGGTTTGAAAAATAATCTGTGACTATTCTAAATATACTAGATGCTTATTGTTTTATTTGCTAGAGAGTTCCTGAAGCCGGGCGCGCCGTGCGAGATCAACATCGACGGCGCGACGGCGGAGCGCGTGGCGGAGGGCCTGCGCGGCGGATCGCGGTACGCCCTGGACCACGCCGCAGACCATGTGTACGGCCTGCTGCTCAAGAAGGACTGCTACCCGCGCTTCATCCGCTCAGACCACTTCCAGAGGCTACTCACCGAGGGCAAGAACGTGCACCAGAAGAAAGCCAAGTAAGGCATCGGTGAATCCATTATGCCATCAAAACACCCATCACAAGAAAGTCGCAAATAATATTGCAACTTTTTACCATTTTAGTCGTCGACGAAGAATTTCCATTTTCGTTTTCTCCGAATTTTACCTGCGTCTCTACCATTGACAACATTCTTTTGTAATGTGATAATGTCCCCAGGTTCTTTAACTTCGGCGGGCAGGTGAAGAAGAAGCCGGGGTCGGGCGCTGCGGGCGGTGCGGGCGGCGCGGGCCTGGCGCGGCGGCGAGGCTCCGACCGCTCGCTGTCGGGCTCCGCGCACGAGCTAGCAGTCTGCGCCGCGCAACCGCCGCGCGCGCCCGACCCGCCACCGCACAGCCACTCGCAGTCCAACCTCTGCGATATTCCATTTAGGTAAATATTTTTTTGTTTGAAAAGTTCATGCAGTATTTCAAAATGCAGAATCGCTAACGGATTAATGGCACTTTTCAGAGATCCTCTAGATGATGATACGGCAGATGTTCTGCCTTGGGAGTGTACGTCGAGGGACGGCGTTTATGGCGGTGCGAGTAGGAGACGTCAAGATTCCGCCGCCGACTCCGGCAGCTCCTCGTCGGATGTGAGCTCCGCGGTGGCCGTGGCCGAGAGGACGCGACGCCTCCCGCAGCAGAGTACGCTGGATGGAGGCCTCCGCGGGGCGCCGCCGCCGCTGCGGCGCCTGTCCGCGGTGGAGCCACGCCATCTGGCGCCGCTGGGGTCGCCGCCGCACTCGCCGCGCCCTCCGCGTCCCGCGCCTACTGCGCCGCCCGCATCCGCCGGGCCACCCGCGCCGCCCCACCCAACGCCCACAATCAGCGTCAGCTCGGCCCCGGACGACGAGTCGGCCGACTCTCCGGCCGGGACCGGGTCCCCTGAGGAGCGGCGCTCCGTCGCCGCCTCCGACGAGCCCTCCTCGGTGTTCGCGTCGGCCGACGCCACGCCGACAGAGCCCACCGTCGCCAATTTCAAAGCTCTCGACGATCGTTGTGCGCTCGCTATTGTAAAAACGATATCTTCTTCTTTTTCTAGTGGTGACGCGAGAACTGATGTTTCAAACGTAGATATTAAAGTGGTAGAGGAGCCGTCGACCGAGGCGCAGTCGTCCGAGTCGTATGACGAGTCCGCCGCCTCCGGCGGGGATTCCAGGGTCTCCGAGTGGACGAAGTGGCCCGAAGACGACGTCGTTTCCGTGCAAAGATCGCTCTCTCGAGAACCGTCGACGACGAAAGAAATCAGCCCGGCCTCATGTAAAGATATAAGCGGCAGAATCGGCGAACTTCCGGAGAGCGAAAGCTACAATGTAGAAGCCGATGACGGGTCAGAAATAGATTGTCCCGTTCATGGAATTAAAAAATTAGTTGGTGGAGAAGTAAACCCATCGGAGGTAGAATCGTTTAGTACGTCTACACCGGAGCCGACAGAGCAGTCTGCGAGGAGTGCGGTGAGTGAGTCTTCGAGCGGAGCGTGCCGGACGGCCGCGGTGAGCTCGGTGAGCCTGGTGAGTGCGGCGGCGGAGAGCGTGCGGGCGCCGGTGGCGCCGCTCGCGGTGTGCGAGGACATCGTGGACGAGGAGACCGCGGACAAAGCACCTTCGGAATCGTCGCAGCGGCCGGCGGGGGAGTGCAAGGCGGCGTCGGAATCCGACGCGATCAAAAAAATTGCTCATAAAGATGAACTGTCGTCGGTTTCTGAATCCAATATTGTTAAGCGAGAGAATATAGGCGGTATCGGAGAACGCAAGCAGCGAAACGACATATGTCCGTGGGAGGACGAGTGAGTATTGCCAAAGCATATTGCAAACTTTTATTAAGGAATTACACAATTCATTAGATAGTTTGCACAAAGTTTGCTTTTGAAATCAATAATTATATTAGCCGAATGCAGAAAATTTGTCGATAACCAATTCCCTCCAACCATTACCAACCACCTGCCGCCCTGGTCTACGCAGTAACGTCATAGGGCCCTTCGGCAAAGCTTAATAAGTTATACCGCATGATTCTTCCTTTTGTTTTCATTCGACAGAAACTATACAAATAGTTATAAAACACCCTTTAGTGCTAGTTATAATATTTATAAGGCGTTTTTCAATACAAAAGTACAGTAATTTATAGCATATATCTATATTTGTGTTTTAATTAATTTTCGTTAAGTCATATTTTGTATTTTTTGTAATAATTGTTTGACTGATTAACTTATTCTAAGTATCTTTCAGTTTTAATGTAATTTAGTTTTGTACCATGCAATTATTGTATTATTGTTCAATCTTATGTTCATATTTGTTTGTTTTTTTTTATTTGTTTATAGTGCAATAGGGTTTGTTTTATTTTATTTTGGACTTTAGTAATGAATGCACGGGAAATATTGTTTTATTTTTTTTTATCTCATATTTTTTCAAGGGTATTGCACATTGCCTCTCTGTACAGCCAAGGGTAAACGACTTATGTAGTTTAGAAAAAGAAAAGACAAATACATAACATATATCACATCGATTTATTTTATTTTGCTGTTTGTTTGCTTCATTTAATTGTATTTTTTGAAAAAAAAAAAATGAGCGCACTTTTCCCTAGAACCCGCCCCTGGCCTAGTTTAATATCTTTGTAAACAAACGTTGTAAATCAACATTGATTTACAAAAAAAAAACTAATGGTTTTTGAGGTAATTACTCGAATGCTTCGTGCAATGAAGCGGATATAATTTTATTTGCAAGAATTAAATAATCGTTATATCATGTTTGATGATATCTTTACATTGAGATTTATCTCACGACACGACATTTGATGCTATAAAAATATACACGATGTTTACTTGCACCAAAACTATAAAATAGTTTATTTTATGCAAAAATATGTAAGTAATCTATAGGTACTTAAATAACTCAAAAACTACTGCCAATTTCAAAAAATCTACGTTCTAATTAACAAGCTACGTTGTCAGTGAATAACATAGGCTATATTTTTTAATTCCACGCGAGTGAAGTCGCGAGCAACAGCTAGTGTAAGATAAGAAGGAAGCGTATATCCCTAATAACGGATATCGTGACCTACATGTGTGACGTCATCTACCTATTCGGAATTATACATAAAAAGATCAACAGGAATCAAGTATATGCGGTTACTTTCACTAACCTGGCTATTCTATATTCTTTCATTTGTCCTTTCCTTGATCCGGCCTGCTTAATTCTTATTAATACTAGTTTCACACGCAGTACAGCAGAGCAGTACTAATTTAGAAATTTGCAATAGAACAACTGCACTTTCTACTGCACGCTACTATAAAATAAAACTGTCCTACTACTCTCTTGTACTGTTTCACCCTCGTGTAAAAACATCAGTGTACAATCACAATTGCTTTCATAAGTATGTTTAAACAATATTAAAGAAACGATTTTGTACTGCCAATTTATCTTTACAAGTTAACACACCTCTTTTGTTACTATCAGATATCGTATCCAATTCTGTTTATAGATAAAATAATACTTTAAGACCACAATTATTTACTAGTAAATAGGTTAAATGGCATCATCGATATTTTTATTGTTTAGGCGCTTTGATAAATGTGACTATGACGAAATAATACAGCATGCTGATATTTGATATTTCCGTTTTGTAGGTTATAATCCCTGCTTGCAATTGAATTACAAATTAAAACCGATTGTTTACATACATAACACACAGTAATTATGTTGTGATTATTTTTCCATCAGAATCAATATTAATGAAGTAAATAAAAATTGCGATGTGTTATATTAAACAATTATGGAAAGAATTATTGTGCAACTTCGCCCGCTGTAATTGAATGCAATTTAGGAGAAAAAAAGCCTAGAATCCCCTTCTTTTTCTTCCTTCTTCTAGGGATAACTACTTTTTCCTTTTTCACACTAACATTTTCTTTTTCTTTTCCAGGAATTCGTGCGAAAGTGACGCTCCATTTGTTAAAACTTATGCTACATTAGGTTATTTATAATTTACGTAGTTGATATTATTTTAAGTTGAAATTAAATGAAGTGTTTAATTTTTGAAATTAGTAATAATAATTTAATAATAGAGTATTGTGTAATTATATGAGTATTTTAAAGTAAATGATCGTTAATTATTAGAAAGATTGACTTTTATTGTAGTCGACACTACGTGAATTTCTTTCTATCAGTCTATTTTTATAGGAAACTATATTTCGCCCGCAACTCTGTCCCCGTGAAATTAAAATAAAACAAAAGTCTATGTGTTCTTCTAGGCTATCCTCTATATTTCTACCGAATTTCATCAAAATCCGTTCAGTCGTTTAGACTACAAACCCTAACAAACATCCATTCATCAATCCATCTAAACTTTCGCTTTTATAATATTAGTATGATGTATCCTAAATACGATATTATTAACAAAATATGCAAAATATATTCAAGCACAGATTAAATAAACAAATATTCGAATTAACTACACGTCTTCAATACTGTCTTAAAAAGACTACAGTAACATAGAATGAGAGTGTGTTAGCAATTCGCAACTGCTTACCCCCTTTTAATCCATTTATTTTATTTTTTGTTGTTAAAAGGTAACTGAAAGGGAAGGCATTGGCTCCTTAAACACAGGAATTCCTAGTTAAGGAGCCAAAGCAATATTGATCCTGCAATCAATGATTGACAATAAAGAATCTTATTATTATTATTATTATTATTATTATTTACCTACAGATAAACCTTTATACAATTAGTTATGAAGATAAAAATGATAGCAAAGAAAACAAAAACTGTTTCACTTTACATTTTAATACTTCATTGATCATAGCACAAACACAAAGCATTTACCTTGAGTAATGCTTTCAACAAACAGGAACATTAATAATACTGAGACGAATAATAAAATACATTTTAGCAACTAAACTTAGCTTAAAATATGATATTACTAACTTCTTTCTAAACAGCATAGATACAGGCTCTACAAACACAAATAATTTAAAATTTCAAGAGAGCCTAATTCCTTATATTAACGTACTGACGCAGTTATACGAGTAGTAATTTAATAGTTAGTTAAACTATCCCTTAGTATTTGGGGATCATTTAAGTATTCTGACTGCAGCATTTAACTCTTAATAGTTATAATTTTAATCGAAAACTTCTCGGCAAACACCATCGGCGCCCATTTTGAAACCAGGTGGGCAGTTTGGTGGAACTGTGATCATGTTACGCATTTGTATAGATGGCGCTGCGGGAGTTTCCGGAACAGCCTCACTTTTCTCCACAGATGTCGCTTTGATCACCTCCTCTTTTACTTCCTCGACTTCGTCAGGGTAAACGATACGGTCAGAGTCAGCCATATTTCTATAAAAAAAAACAATTTGACTATATAACAATGGAGCTATAAGTACGTTTGAAATATTTAATATTACGTGATTTTCAGAGATTTTCATGACAAAGTTTTTTTTCACATTACTAAATATTATATCTACAACAATGTTTCTGATAACTAACAAAACATTTTACTTTTAAATTTCATTATCTTACGAGTTTTTTACTCGTTATACATGAAAAATCGAATTGGATAAATTTGGCCAAACAAAATATTAAAATCCAAAAAAACAAACTCATTTTGTAAGTACATATACTACTGTTAACAGTCAATGTAGATTCTTTCCTTAAACGTTACTATACTTTCAATTGTCAATTGTTATGGTAAAAATGTAGAAAATCTTACGAAGAAATATCTCTGCATACCTCGGCAGACACCGACATCAAAGTAATAATAATTGTACAATACAGACATAACAGCTACAGTAAGGGAGGTTTACTATTTCAAGGAATTATTTCGTTACTTTTTAGTGTACTGTGTTTTTTTGAGAATATCTTGTTTTTAGTGTATTTCGTTTTTTTAAATAGGATCCCACAATGTTTGCAAAACAAAACAACATTGGCACCAAATTGCACAGTTCATTCACTTCATATCAAATTATCTTGTCATAACGATTTCGTGTTTTTTACCTCGTTCAAGTAAGTAAAAAATATAAAGACCAATAATTCTCCGCTTGATCTATTTAAAATTCTTATAATCAAGGTCGTAATCATCTCGGATATAAAAACTAGCATTACTATTATAACATTACTATAATTTTTAATAGTATATAATAAAAAACCGGCTGGTAACAACTCAATCCGCAACTTATTTTTTTTTAAGGTTATGTATTAAACTCGTGACAGATTCCATTAATCACGAAAATATCGTACGAAGTTATTGTTTTGGAGACTATGTTCAATGTAATAAAAGAGATTGTTGCAATTTAAAAATAGTTACACACATCCAAAAATAAGGCAAATCGCTTGCTGGTATTCAAAAAATGATAAAAGAGATGTAAAAGATATTATAAAGAGAAAACATTTATCAGTAACTGCTAACCAAAAATATGCAATTCAAAACATCGTATAATTTAATAAAACATTTTTAAGCACCTACAACAATAGGTGTAGTTTAAACTATTTTAAAATTAACTATAACAAATATTTTAACATATAATCAACCAGAAACGATCTAAACTAGAAAAGGGACAATGGTACTAGTTTTTCGAAACACTAAAAATACATTATTAACGATATCTCTCCTCATAAACTGAACACTAAACGCAAATAAATTAAATAAACTTTGTTCAAAATCATATTAAAATACTTACAAATTATTTATCTGATACTAGTCCAAGTTATCGATAAAACCTCTCACGATTGCTGCCTGCAACGTCCGGGGAACTAATGGCGCTACTTCCAACACCTCGGGCTTATATCAAACTGTTCACGGATTTATCTTTTACGTACGCATAGGTGCACCTAAGTCGTCACAGTGAGTCACTACACTCCCATCATAATATCCTATATTTCCCTGGAAATTTCTTATAACGACCGCTGTTTTTTTATTTCTCTGCATCGATAACAATCGATATCATGTATTTAAAAGATTAAATGAAGCTTATAAACATCCTACAATGATAACACTTCCTGTGCGAAGAGGAAAATATTTTTTAATTGCAGACCTGCATTTACGTACTTTATTGTGCAATAATGAGAAACGATATATCGATTTTCAGTGAAATTTATCATACTTTCAACGAAATGATAAATGCATGTACAAAGGATTGGTATACAATCACTATCCAGAAAAGATATAGGTAATCTTTGTAGCTACAATTTCTCTATAAATGTTATAAGTCACGGAAGACCTACCACTTCGTTTACAACGGTCTAAAAGGATTTGAATGAAGTCTTTGACTAACAATCCTCAGAACAATGCTGCTTAGGAAGTTAGAGCGATGCCAAAAGATTAGGAAACCATAGACAAATGGAATACTTTATTAGGAAAATAAACAAACAATAATAACACAAAGAACACTAGTATGTTAAGGAATAAAGACTATCCGGTTCTCAAGTGCAGATTATTCGAAGTAAGCTAAGAATTACGTCTAATTACTGATAAGAACAAGAGTATAAACCTGCGCTATCAGTTATCAAGGTGAACTACGTATAGTTGATTAGAATCTTTTACACCGGACCAACTTCTTAGTAACAAGCGTTTTTTCCAACGAACAGGATGATATTGTTTTTCGCAAGAGTATGTTTATGATAGATATGTATTTATGACCAGCCCACATTCTTTGTGAGAGCTGTAACCACAGCTTGAACAATATTGATAAGGTGCCTTTCCACTAGTTAACTCTCCGGGTAAAAGTGAAAACAACTGGATGCCTTGACAAAAATAATAGTATAGGTTTTGTTATAAAGACCAGATTACTTGTCGTGATGTATCGAGTCCGTGTAAATTATTAACATATAAAATAGGTTTGACATCGACTGTATCGTGAAGTCCTTATCTTGGGTTTTTTGCTACAATTCTTATCCATCCGTTAAGTGTTCCAATAATTTCTATGAAGGATATATATTGTCACTTCGGTGTGTAGGTTCTTTTAAAACTAGCAATATATTATTACTTAAGTCTTATGATTTCAACAAAGATAGTATCTTTACTAGCCATAATAAACTGGACACTAATATTTGAAGAGGGTTTTAAATAAATCAAGTTGTTGGTATTTCTACTTCCTAGTAGGTTGGAGTGTTGGTATATTGGTGTTGGAATATTGGTATATTGGTATACTCTAATGTTGGTGTTGCTCTCTAGCAGTGTTGGTATGTTTGTTTTGTATTACTAGTGAACACTCACCTTTATTTAAATAAGGGATAATTTTAGATCGATATAACTTTAAACTTGTTTTATCTGGATAACGTTAGCCTCAATACGTAAATAGCTAAACATTATTTATCTACCAGAGTGAATTTATTGCTTTAAAGTGTTAATTCAATCTTCGAGTTCGAGTTCTGGTTATTTTAAAAGCAATGATTACTTATATGATCAGGAAAATAGAAAATCTGTCACGGGGATCACAATCACCTTTTACATTACAGCACCTGATATAAGTATACCAAAAATTTGATGAGCTGTTTTATATTTTCGGTGAACTAAAATAGACAGTCCTCTATAAAAAACCTTAAACTTCTTACCATAATGTCAATAACGTCGAAATGTTTAGAATTGACTTCAAATGTTTGTCAAAGTTTAGAACATATTTAAAATCAACTTTCGTTTTATCAAATGTCACAAACAGCAATTGTCAAAAATTTTTAGGGAGTTTTGGTTATTCCTAGTAACCTTGAAGACAATTATATACGCAATATGGTCTACATATATTTATTACTCGTTTTGTGAGCTTGAAATGCAAAAGAGCAAAAGTTTGGAAAAGGTAAGATGGAACATGTAAACAACGATTACCTTGTCATATACAATATGATTTCACTGCACTTTTACGTGTTATTTAATACGTTTACTATACTGTGAAAACAGGTAAACGGTGCGAAACAAGCATCTGATGCTAGTGTAAACTGTGTACAAATCGCTCGCAAGTAAGTTTATCGAATATCTAGAACCCTATCTTCTTTCCTTTTCTGACTATTTCTTTGTGCCTCTTTGTTTCTTTGGAGGAATATCAATTTCCCTTATGACTTCTTCAGTTTAAGTCTGCTAGTTTACTTATATATTAATCAATTTTATTACTTTAGTCTTCAGAAATTGTGCTATCTAACCAAAGACATTGAAAAATATATAGACGAGACATAGCGAACATAGTTTTTGCACAGGTACTTCTCTAAAAGGTACTGTATCGGTAATTAAGCTTAATACGCCACTGTGTCCTTCTATTGACATGTAATAAAATGTTTTATCAAATTATAATAAGGTCCATCTTTTGTAATAAAATAAACTAAACAGCGTTACAAACTAAAATATAAACAGTTACTGATGATACCCATTGACTATTACAATTAATTATATTGCCATGTTGTTTTGAGGCTATCAAGATGATCATGTGAAACATGTCTCAAGTGAAGTAACCACTATGCCTCCTCTATATATTTTTTGAATACCTTTAGTTCTAACCTCCATGAGTATTACCAAAGGAATTCAAATGTCTTTTGATTTTATACAATACCTTCAATACAGTTTTCTTAATTGAGTTATCTGAATTTATACATTGTTGTTTATTCAATAACAGGCCAAAAAGAAAAGTTCGTAACAATTTTGGCAATATCTTCGAAAGATACCACATAACAGTTAAGCCAAAACTTCTGAGGAGCAGTTCATTATCGGATCTTGCTACTAATTCTAGTGACTTTAGTGAGTTCTAGTAACTTTAATAAATTACATTACTACGTTTAGTCGATGCATTAGGTGACTACAATTAACACGCTTTACTAACATCTAGAGTGCAAGGCTATTAATTACACTACAATAAATTTAATGGCTCCAGAAATTAGTTAAGATAATATCGTACAGCCCTGATTTCAGCATTGGATTTTATCAAAAATTCTAGTAATCTATTAAACCGGGCTAATCAAAAATCGAGCCAAAACTGTTCCGGGGACACTTGCAGACCGTACATATATCACAGCCTCGACACCCGATACATGTCGTGGAACAATAAAGTAAAGTAAGCAAATCAAATAAAGATATCTTTAAGTATGCTTAAATAAAATTTACAAAGCCTATCCTTACATCTTTGGATTAAAATTCTTTATTGCCAAGTAATAATCAATTCTCCTTCTGTATGTCATTCTTAATTTCTTTATCTTGTCTTTAAATTCAATTTTAAATTTAGAAAATTCAAGAAGAAAATCGAAATGTCTCCAGAGCCGATTTCAAAAGGGACAAACGATTATGACCCAGATCAAAATATATCCTCGTGTGCAGAAAACTCAAGGTATCCTTTTATACTGAAACAATTTAATTTCAATAGAATAATTTGGATAATCATCGTAATGCTTTTAGTGTATGTAGTACAGACGAAATGAGTATGCAGAGAATAGCTGCCTTTCCATTTAAATCTACACCAAGTGGGAATCTAAAAGTACAATCAAATCAGGTAAATTTGCATCGTATTAAGATAAATGGATCAAAAATCTCACCTTCATTATTATATTGTGTAATAGGTTGTTTTCCAATCGTCTACCGTCGGCGTGTTACTAGCAGATCCAACACAAGCAAAGGTTAAAGTTAAATTTGAAGGTAAAGCTGCAGGTGAACCGGAAAATAAAATAGAAAATAATTATGTTAGTACAAATCATCTTAATCAATTAGATATTAAAACAGTTGAAATATAAAACTAGCTGTTGCTCGCAACTTCGTTCGCTTGAAAGTAAAGAAAAATAATGAAAAAAACACCCTCTGTTACTCAAAGATAAATTACTTCTCTAATAGTTAAGGATTTTTAAAATCAGCCCAGTAGTTTTTGAGTTATTTCATTACATACAAAAATACAAATCTTTCCTCTTTATAACATTAGTATAGACAATGTTTTTACAGACCGATGAAAATGATTCAGAAACACAAGTGAAATATTCTCATAAAGATCCTATAAATATGAGATTGAAAGCGGTCACTGAACGTCATTCTAAACCCAAAGCACCGGTGATAAGAGAAGAGCAGGGTAAAGACTTGGGTAGTCTTGGATATGCAATCGCTGAGCCTATAGATTGGAGTCGCGTACAATTGCCGAAAAAACAAGATTTGTTTCAGGAGTTTTATCGCAGAATATTAAACTACATGTAAGTCTGATATACTATTGAAAGAAACCATTCAAAAAACTATACATTTATGGTTAAAATATGGGTAATGTTTGTGTAACTCTCATTGTAGCCACACAGATACAATTATCCACATTGCTGACGAAGAATTCCATTGTCATCAGATTGTCCTACAGATATACTCGTCATTTTTCGATAGTAACAATCTTCGTGAAATAGAATTACCTATTGTAAGTACGGGAATGTCCCTTGTTACTTGTTGATTGAAATGCTTACTCGAAGCGAAGTTACGTTATCAATGCATTGAACAAATGAAATAATTTCGATAAGAATTAACTAAAATTTCAAGTAATGCTTTACTAAATCAATATATAGTTTTGATAATTTGTTTTTTTAATGTTCTAGTCAAGTGTAACACCCGAAGCATTTCAAATCATTTACGAATGGATGATTTTTAGTAATTCAGAAAGTAATAAAGTTCTAAAGAGAGAAAATATTTTGGAATTGTTTTGTGCAGCACAATATTTAGCTATAAAAGGTTATAATTCTATTCCATTTGTATCTTTTAATTTATCTTTTGATTTTGGAACTGATGTACATAGTTCGTACTAGATTTGGAGGATCAATGTTGGTCATTTATTGTGCACGAGGAATTATTTACTGAAGACACCGCTTTTGCTTTATACAGAGAAGCTAGATCTAAAGGCATGACGCCTGTAATGGATATTATGGTGAATATTTGATTCCTACTGTTATTTACATTTCATTTAACTATTGAATTAAATACATTAATTTTTTCAGGTCCCTCGAGTTATGAGATTTTTTCTACCACTGGTCGCTTCGAGAGATTTTCTTGAATTAGACCCGGATGAGGTTATGACGTTTCTTAAATCGAATTACATTTGCGTTACAAGGTAAGGACTCTTGAATGTTCAAGAACAATGTTCTTAGTAAAGTATGCTGGTCGTGTTTGCACGGCTGCACAAGATAAGCACTTAAAAGGAACCAGAACTGTTAATTGTGTTTGTTAATAATTTTAACGATTTATGTATTATGTAATTGCACGCAGCATTAATCTTATATTGTATTGTGGTTTTCAAATATCTTGATTAAATGTCAAACGAGTCGCTGGGAAGAACACAATATCATGTGTAGTGGGGCAGGGGGATGGGGAATCATTCTTAAGTTGCCTAAAATGTTGTAATGCAGTAAAGAAAGTAATTACTTATGAGATGTCTTATTTAGCGAGATAGAAGTACTAATGGCGGGTGTTCGGTGGCTGTACGGCAACTGGCCTGCCCGGCGGAGGCTAGTCGTGGACATCATGCGGTGCATCCGCTTCGGTCTCATCTCCCCCTGGCAGCTTGTAGACATCAAACGGAATCCTGACAATGCAGAGATACTGGAAATTGTCAATGAACCTGAAGTACAGCAGATGGTTGATGACGGACTGGCGTTTGTATTTGCCTTTTGTATCCTCGTTTGTCGATTTGTATTATTTCATATATCTACCTAATAGTACATAGCTAAATATTTCTCGTGTAATATGCGTACGTCCATTAACACTGATACCATAGATAATGTCGGCCTCGTTCCTCGTGCAGATATTTCGATAAAGTCGTTGAACTAATAAAATCGAAGCGATTCATTTAAAGGAACTATTTTTAATATTTAAGACTATACAGAGAATAATACCCAGTTTGCATATAAACATTCTTCTTTAAAACTACTATAAATTTTTCACAGATATGTTATTATAAAGTATTGGTACGGTAACAATTCCAAGAATTACTATCATTGGATAGACGTCCTCGGCCTCTCAGAGCCAGCGGAGAGGAACTGGATAGGCGAAGAAAAGGTGCTAAACAAATTCTTATTAATTTACAACAAGATGTTGAAAGGAATTCAAATTAATAGTCTATATTCTTGTAATGTAATTTGATTAACACTTTATATTGCTTACTGAGTGTTTGACACGATCTTGGAATCGTGAGATGCATGTTTACTTTGCTAACGTAGGACCAAGGTCGTTGGTATAAATTATTTAACTGCGACGGTTAATGTTTTCAAATTTTAACTCCATTTTTAGAACACATCATAGACTTAGAGGCATGAAATGTGATCATTTGATTAAAAATTAGTAAGGAAAATTCGATACATTTGCGTTTATTAACAATATTTCGATAAACAAACCATCTTTCCTATTAAGATGAACTAATTGTTTACATTGCAGAATCACGTGACGTATAAAGATTTCTTAAAATACCTAGAACATTTCATGGTCCCGAAAGAACAGATGTATCAGCAAATGTCGATGATGCAACCGCCGAGGAGAACGGATGACTTGCCGAGTATGTAAACAATTGTTTGAGAAATGTTAAATGACTAATTTTAGGTAAGTAAGAAAAAAGAAACTATTAAACAAACGCCTTGGTTCATAATAAATATTGAAACCTAATAGAAATTACCAACGTTTTCGCTAAATACCACTAAGTAAGTTTAAAGATTAACAGTCTCTACAATTTTTGACAACTCTTATCCACATAAGTAATGAAACCGATCCTTATTCGCAGTTATTTCGCTACTAGTAACTTCTCAGGTTTGTTACTTTACAAAGCATTTCTTTTATTATTAAATGAAAGTACACCTACTTAGAAATAATCGCAATAATTTAAACGTGCTACAATCTATTTTATATTATCAGGCGCTTTACGCGGACTTGATGCCGATAAAATGGATATGAGGAGACCGAAAATGGAATTTCCTCTTCCTGGTACGTTGAAGGGACTTGGCGGGGATAAGGACAAATCGTTTCCAACGATGAGCGAATTTTTTGAAAACAGGCGAAAGGTATAACATTCATTTTAGATACTTAAAAAATTATACTGTGAATATCTTTTACTTGTGCCTAAAAACACAGATTCCACAAATTACGAATAAAAAAAATAAAAAATAATTGTGATCTTAGCTTCATCACATAGGTGTTTGATGATGATGATGATGATGATCTTTTAATTACAGATAAAAGAAGCAAATCAGGCGAGATCACCGATACGATCACCAAACCAGGGCTCTGAGTGTCTGCCAACGATAAGCCAACCAACTCCGCAAACATCCAGGAAGACACCTGAAACTGACCGGAAGGCACAAAAACCAAGTGAACCGAATGTACTGTGCTTATTGCTTTTTCACATTTTTGTAGAAATTATACCAAAAAGACTGATGAAATGCAATCTATAGCGCCTAGTACATTACTTTTCACTTTTTCTCTTAATTGAATAATTTCTATGACCATTTTCACGAACCGGTTAATTAATGTAAATATTTTCTGTGTTTCAGGAGCCACGATTGTTTCAAGCAAATCAAACGTTAATCCAAAAGCAAGTCCAACAGATTCAAACTACTACACTGCCAACATCAAACGTAATTAATTATAATATTACAAAATCATAATTATTCCACGTTTTTAAGCATTTTGTAACATTGAATGTATACGAACTCTTGGCAGTTACCTCAGCAACATGGGCAGATGTACGAGCCCCCTGAAAAAGACTCATCGGACAACTTCAATACGACCAAAAGCGTCACCAGCAGTGAAAGTATCGAAACAAGATATTCTGAAAAGGTAAAGAGAATATATCAGAAACTTACAAAAAAAAATCTTCAATAATTCTACTTATCACTTTTTCATGGTTTCGAGCGATTTTTATTACGTCTGTTATTTACGGTGTTAATCAATAAAAATAATCAATTTTTATACTTTGAAAAAATTAACTTTTTTAGACTCAATACATCAATAAGACATGTGAAACGAGACACAACAGTGTGGCAGCCTGCTACCTCGCCGCTGCCACCGCTGCCTTAGCAGGTTCCAGAAGGTAATAACTAAAATATTTCTTCTAATAAAAACTACCCTGATATGCTGTATTTGTTCTTCATTTTCTGTTATATTTTAGGAAGTTTAAATAGGTGTTATCAATTTTCTTTTTCTTGCAGAGAATCTCAAACATCTCCAACATC